TATATATATATATATATATATATATATATATATATATATATATATATATATATATATATATATATATATATATATATATATATATATATATATATATATATATATATATATATATATATATATATATATATATATATATATATATATATATATATATATATATATATATATATATATATATATATATATATATATATATATATATATATATATATATATATATATATATATATATATATATATATATATATATATATATATATATATATATATATATATATATATATATATATATATATATATATATATATATATATATATATATATATATATATATATATATATATATATATATATATATATATATATATATATATATATATATATATATATATATATATATATATATATATATATATATATATATATATATATATATATATATATATATATATATATATATATATATATATATATATATATATATATATATATATATATATATATATATATATATATATATATATATATATATATATATATATATATATATATATATATATATATATATATATATATATATATATATATATATATATATATATATATATATATATATATATATATATATATATATATATATATATATATATATATATATATATATATATATATATATATATATATATATATATATATATATATATATATATATATATATATATATATATATATATATATATATATATATATATATATATATATATATATATATATATATATATATATATATATATATATATATATATATATATATATATATATATATATATATATATATATATATATATATATATATATATATATATATATATATATATATATATATATATATATATATATATATATATATATATATATATATATATATATATATATATATATATATATATATATATATATATATATATATATATATATATATATATATATATATATATATATATATATATATATATATATATATATATATATATATATATATATATATATATATATATATATATATATATATATATATATATATATATATATATATATATATATATATATATATATATATATATATATATATATATATATATATATATATATATATATATATATATATATATATATATATATATATATATATATATATATATATATATATATATATATATATATATATATATATATATATATATATATATATATATATATATATATATATATATATATATATATATATATATATATATATATATATATATATATATATATATATATATATATATATATATATATATATATATATATATATATATATATATATATATATATATATATATATATATATATATATATATATATATATATATATATATATATATATATATATATATATATATATATATATATATATATATATATATATATATATATATATATATATATATATATATATATATATATATATATATATATATATATATATATATATATATATATATATATATATATATATATATATATATATATATATATATATATATATATATATATATATATATATATATATATATATATATATATATATATATATATATATATATATATATATATATATATATATATATATATATATATATATATATATATATATATATATATATATATATATATATATATATATATATATATATATATATATATATATATATATATATATATNGAGATAATGCTATTCATGAATGAATATTTTTTAATAATTTTATTCCAATATAACTTTTTAAATAATAAAGTGTTGAACAAACTATGAAATAAAGTCTAATCAGTTTATTTATTAAAAGACAACTATATAAAAATTTGCATAATTCTATAATACTATGAAGAAATAATCGTTTATTTGTAAAAGTCCAAAAAACCTTCATATTTAGAAATTAATTTCTCACGAATTATTTACCTATCCCAATTAATTTTTGCTTCACTGTCTTCATTTATACTTTGCCAAATGTGATATAAAATTTTACTACTTTCTTCCAATGCTTTAAAAAGATATATTGGAATAAAAAAAGGGCTGTTTTCTACCATTTTTCGGTATAATTTAGGCAACCAGAGATGCATCAGTTTCCATCCTTAAAAGAGTGTAACTTTTTTTATCCTTGACTGCATCCCCGTCTAAGAAAGAAATTTGGTTTTTAACTTAGACAGCCGTCTAATTTTTGGCTTTATATATATATACATGTTTACATAAGCAAGTAGTTAATGGAAAAATTTAAATATATATATGTATGAAAATCATAATTCCTTGTAAACCTTTCGTAGTAATTATTGAACATAATTGTAAAAATTTTTTCAAGTTTATATACTTATATATAAGACATATATACATAAGACATATAATACATATAACACTATATTACTATTTTTGGTTGAATAACTTAAATATTTAAAGATGGAAAAGTTACAACTGCTTTTTTCAATTTTGGTAAATATGCTGGATTATTTATTGATTTAATTTTTCTTCTATTCCAATGATTTAAAAATTCCTTATGAATAGATTCTCCTGCCTGCTCAGACCAGATACCAAGTCCATCTCCATTTAGGTATTCCAGGCAGTGCGTAAGATGCTCTAGTGTTACATGAACTTTTAAGGTTTTTGAAAGTTCGGTAGATTCAAAAATTGTTTTCAATTCTTTGATGTATTTTTCGAGATTATCGCCCTTCTTTAATTTTAAGTGTATTAATAAATGGAACCAAACTTAAAATTCCTACGTTACTATATGTAGGTATATAGAAGTTCATCTAATTTATCCGCGTTTTCCAAAAGAGTACGACAGGAATTCCCTTCAAACGTTTCACCATGATAACTTTCTTGTGTAAGATTAAGCTTCTTTGGCCAAATAAGTGCCTTTTCTCTACCAAGGATTGGATCTAATCCGTCCCAAAATAAGTGGTTGACGAATCCTTGCATAACATGCAATTCTGGAATGATGCACTTTTTTATCACACAAACATCATTATTTTCTTCTAACAATGGTAAATTTATAGTGCTATGGCACTACTTAGCTCTTTTTAAAAGTGCAAAGAAGGGCGATAATCTCGAAAAATACGTCAAAGAATAGAAAACAATTTTTGAATCTACCGACTTTCAAAAACCTTAAAAGTTCATGTAACAGTAGAGCATCTTACGCACTGCCTGGAATATCTAAATGGAGATGGACTTGGTATCTGGTCTGAGCAGGCAGGAGAATCTATTCATAAGGAATTTTTAAAACATTGGAATAGAAGAAAAATTAAATCAATAAATAATCCAGCATATTTACCAAAATTGAAAAAAGCAGTTGTATCTTTTTCATCTTTAAATATTTAAGTTATTCAACCAAAAATAGTAATATAGTGTTATATGTATTATATGTCTTATGTATAAGTATATAAACTTGGAAAAAACATGTTTATTAAATTTACAATTTTATATTCAATAATTACTACTAAAGGTTTACGCTGAATTATGATTTTCATACATGTATTTATTTAAATTTTTCCATTAACTACTTGCTTATGTAAACATGTATATATATGTATGTATATGGGTGGGTAAGTGACTATGTGTGTGCCTAGTTATATACATATTATATTATATACTTACATATTTACCCATATATATAATGTTTATATTATTCTCATACGATAAATTATCACTGTTATTGTTTTTACATTTTTTACAAAAAAAGCTTAAAATGATCTAATCAGATTTTAAAAACTATCGATACTGCATGTATTTATAAGTAGCAAACCCCCTGCATAAGCAGTTTTTCTAGACATTTTCGTTTGAATAAAATTTGCTTCCTGCACACCGTGTAAGTAATATAGGTATAAATTTGTATACTACCATAAAAACACAAAAATGTGCTTTTTAGCTGATATAGTCTCTTCCAAATTTGTTTTTTGGGCAAAACACTGATTTTGCAAATTCATCAATTAAAATATATAGTTTCCCTGTTCAATCTAAATTTTTTTTTAACTAAAAACAAAACCAATTGGTACAAACAGTAGTTAAGTAAGTCTAATTATTTATTTACTACATCTTCTGGATATTGGTGTACAACTAATTCCGTAAAATTGTATACTTTTATTTGCTCTCTAGAATTATTAATAACATATTCTTCTTCAGATGAACACTGAAGAAGAAAATACATTATCTAGAAGCATTATATTTAAAAAATATTCTACTACCGCCATTTTTAACTTGCACTGCACTATTGAACTGACTATTTCGTCAATGCAAGAAAATTTGCATTCTCGCCAAATTCAGTGCGAACTAACTTGTAAATCGAACAAATTCAATAGGGAAAGTCTGCACTCAAAATATAAATCGAACTCAGAAGTTATATACAGTACGCACTGAGTGAAAAAATTCACTTAAACCGAAATCCTCATAAGAATCAAATGATTATCCCAGAACCAAGAATCAAGACACGAGTGCCAGACTGAAGCCTAAAGATTGAATGATGCATGTTGTAACTGCGGTGTGGTGGTATTTTACATTTTCATTTTTATTATATAAAGTTTTGTGTAAAATTATTTGAATATGCTGGTTTTTAAATACATTTTCTAAAAATTTTATTATATCAATGTTTTTTACTTCCAGTCAATTTAAAATCATAAACATTATATATGTAGGTATATAGAATATTTGCAATACTTTCTGTTTACGAATCATCCGTTTGTATAAGTGAGAACTATTTGAAAACCAATGAGAGCTGAACGTATTCAAATTCTTCTGATTCATTCGATACACTAAATTAGTAGTTGATTTAAATTCATTTGAATATTTCCCACACTCGAGAATGCACATCTCACATAATATTTGCTAGATAGCCTGGTAACTGTTGACAGCAACACTATTATGAGCCGTGTTTCCCAAACCTTAGTGATAATTAACAAGAAATATTTACTTTAATATTTTGAAAATCGGGTGGACATGTCTTGATAACAGGTGCATCAAACAATGTTACTGGATTGCAACTTTGCCAGTTTTTATAAGCAGCAGAAAATTCATAGTTCAATAAATGACCAGAAACAGAAGTCATAACCATTCTCGCTTGCTCTCCAAAGACTTGTGTGTCAAATTCATATATCTTGTTATATTGTGATAAACCTTCTCGCTACAAAAGTTAAAAAGATTATTTTGTAATATATATTTATATGAATCGATTACCCGGGTTGATGCCCCTCTAGATAAAATAGCAGCAATATTTTTAGCTGCATCATTCTTTTCTGCTACATTTAAATATCTCATAATGGCAGATTGGAAATCATTACTAAAAAATCTTAAACTCAGCTTTAGAAATTTCATTTACATGAATAATTCATTTTTGCATTTCTTATTTACAGCACCACGACCACAAATCTAACCTCTAACTTGTTCTGTACATAAAAGCACAGAAAAATGAATACATATGTCACAGAATTATAACACTTCTGTGCATATGTTATTATTCAATCAGAGAACACTAATAGTGTTCTCCGAAACAATTTTCTATGTACATAATAAAGGTAAGTTCGGTATTGATAAGTGCGCGCCGCGCGCCATTATTCTATGGCTAGAAATTGGCCTCAATGATTTGGGATCGAGGGGGATTATCCCTCTTTATCCTGCCTCATCTCGTGTAGGCCTG